GAAACCCAGAACAAAAAAATCATATCATTGTGAATGAGGGAGATTGCAGAGTGGAGACCCAAAGCCAATCTGTAGACCATTAGACATCCCCTTATAGAAGGGTCACAAGGAAGAGATGAGCCAGTCAGGGTGCAGTATAGCACCAATGAAACATACAACTTTCCTCTAGTTTTTTAAAGCCTCCTCATCCCCACTATCATGACCCCAATTCTACCTTACAAATCTGGCTAGACCAGAGCATGTACAGGGGTACAGATAAGAGCTGTCTGACACACGAAACCCAGGACAGATAAACCCCCTCAGGACCAATGATGAGAGAGTAGGGGAAAGGTGGGGGGAGAAGAGGGAGAAAAGGGGAAACCACCCCCTCGAGGGGAACAAACAACAGAAACATGGGTGAAGGGAGACAGCAGAGGTGTGAAACATGAAAATTAAAATAATTTATAAATTATAAAGGGTTCATGAGGAAGGTAGGATGGGGGAAGGAGAGAGGGGAAAAAAAGAGGAGCAGATACCAAGGACTCAAGTAGAAAGAAAATGTTTGGAAATGATGATGATGCCATATGTATAAATGAGCTTAATACAATTGATGTATGGATTGTTATGAGAGCTGTGAGAGCACTCCCAGTAAAATGACTTATTAAAAATAAATAAAATTTAGCAGTAAGTATAAAATACATTACTTTTGTTCGTGCAAACAGTCTGAACAAAAATTATGGGTAAGATTTTTACATGTAAATATCTTGTATAGCTAGTCTTTCCTGAATAAAGAAAGCAGATGGTGCTATAATTCCTTGAAAACCAAACTCGGGGCCAAATTAAAGTGTTTCATGTAAAAAGCACTGAGGAGTATTTGTTTGTGAAGACAAATCATCCTTATAATTGAGGTGGAGAATTATCTGACAAAATGGAAAATTCTCTAAGCACTATAAAGAAGACCCAACAACTCATAGAACTTAGGAAGGGGGGTTGGAGGGAACACTATTGTAGTAATGATTTCTTACGTACACTTTGCCTCCTTACTCTGGATATGATTTCCTTAAGAAATACACGTTATATTTATCTTTATTTACTTCTTTATATCTTCAAACACTAGGATAATAACACACACACACACACACACACAAGCACATTGCTATCAAATCAATTCTGACTCATATTTGACCCTATATAGCAGTGGTTCTCAACCTGTGGGTCGCAACTCCTTTGGGGATTGAAAGACCCTATCACAGGGGTCGCCCAATTTATAACAATAGCAAAATAACAGTGATGAAGTAGCAACGAAAATAACTTCATGGTTGGAGGTCACCACAACATGAGGAACTGTATTAAAGGGTCACAACATGAGGAAGGTTGAGAACCACGGCTACACAGGGTTTCCAAGACTGCACATGAACAGACAACCTCATCTTTCCCACGTGGAACAGCTAGTGGTTTTGAACTTCTGGTTCTGTATTCAGCAGCCCCCAACATTTAATCCACAGGGCTATCAGGCCTGGAAACACTACCATAAAAGCTGGTATAAATTATAACCCTATTTGCTGAAAAATAAACTATCCTACACTTAGATCCTCCAACTTGCTGGTCAGGAACTTTCCGTAGTCATTGTTTTAGTTAAGAAAAACAAGGACATTAGGGAACCTAAACCTTCAAACAGTTTAAACAAATCACTGGTCAGTGAGGGAAGTGAGCAGAAAGAAAAGTCTTCCAAGCTTGATATTGAAAGATGCCAATGCTCATTTAGAAATTCTCCTCCAATTCTAATCTTAATGTAAACATCACAAATTCACTTTGACCAAATATTGTAACTATGATATTCTATAATCAGCCATAAGAAATAACCTCAGTCCAGAGCATGTGCTGAGTGTGACAAAAGAATTCGGATATCCTTCAATATATCCTTGGTAGTAGCAATGAGTCTAGGAGAGAAAAAGCAATAGGGTTACTTAACAATCAACCGAGCTTTCAAATCATTCCTTATTTATTTATTTATTTTCAATCCTCCCACTTAACTTTTTACAGGCTGCACAATTTATATTAGTGTATAGAAAGTGATATTTGGGGGAAAAGATGTCACCGTACTGTATACATGCCTCTCTCACTATATAAACTACCACATTTTTAGATTATCAGTTGGGATTATTATTTTACATTCTGATTCCAAAGAGTCATACCATATTACATGAATTAAAAGATGAAATTATTCTCCAGTGAAAAAAGTATTTTCCAGTATATCATTTAGGTCTTCAGTTTACAATATCCAGTTTGACCAACTTAAAATGTAGGGATGCTGGTCCAATATTCCTCTACCTACCCAACTCCCTAAAGTCATTAGTCTTCTTCTTGAAAGCAGATACCGTTTGACAGGTTTTCCAGTATGGCTTTCATTTATAAAGTAGAAAAATGATTACACGGCTAATACCCTGAGATAACATCTTACTATCCTAGGTCCCCACGCCAGAAGTATTTTAGATTCATAAATGTAGAGATCCATATCATGAAGTACATTTCTCTACTTCAGTTAAAATCTTCATTTACTCTTTCCAAATACATTGGTCTTGGGCAACTTCATGTTATTTGACTCTTCTCTCTCATTCCACTTCTCTCCTTGGTTACCTTGACCAAGATACTGATTAATAATTACCACAAATTTGTAACATCACTTGTCTGTCAGTTTGTCATACTGTGGTGGGTTGTCTGTTGCTATGATGCTGGAAGCTCTGGCACCAGTATTTCAAACATGAGCTGGGTCACCCAAAGTGAACATTTTTCAGCAGTGTTTCTAGACTACGAACAGACTATGAAGAAGGAATAGGCTATTCACTTATGAGGAATTAGCCAAATGAAACCTTATGGACAGAATCGGAAACATTGTCAGATACTGCAAACCACATGAATGAAGCACAACAGTGTCAGAGATCATGCCCGAAGATGAGCCCCTCATGTCCAAAGGCACTCAGAATATGACTGAGGAAGAGCTGCCCTCTCAAAAAGGAGTCAACCTGACTGATGCGGATGGAATAAGGCCTGTGGGAGGAAAGGCTCCGGGACCTTCATTTGCTGATGGGGCATGACCCAAATGAGAGGACCCAGTGGCAAACTTCAGTTAATAATGGGATTTGGGGAAGCACTAGTATGAATCTAGGAAAATTGAAAACTGTCAAAAAATGAAATGGAATGCATAAAGATCAATATCCTAGGAATTAGTGAGCTGAAAAGAACTGATATTAACCATTTAAAAATTTTAAAATCCTACAGTTTACTATTCTGGAAATGAAATAATCAAGAGGTGGTGCATTCATCATCAAAAAGAACATTTCAAGATCCATCTTGAAGTACAAGTTGTCTGTGATAGGATTATATCTATCCCCATCCAATCTAATCAATGCAACTATTATTAAAAT